GCAGAGAGGTGCCCCAGCCCTTGGATCATCTTCCTGGCTCCTCTGGACCTGCTCCAACAGCTCCACATCTTCCTTGTGTTGGGGGTTCTGGGCTTGCACCCAGACCTTCTGAGGAGTGACAGACCTGCCCAGACCTTCACCTGTGGTGAAGAGAGTCGAAGTCCACCAGGAGAGCAGGTGTTGTCTGGTGCTTTGTCCCTATCCTCCCCCTTGCTTCTCTCCCCTCCAGAATTGGGGACCTAACCTGCCCTGTGCCAAACTGGGAGCTGGATGGAAAAGCTGGATCCTGGCTGGATCCTGGTGCTGCTTCCCTCACCACAGCGAGGACGGTCACACACTCATCTCTTTCATCTCCTTAACATTACAGGCTTCTTCCCAGCCCCACACCACGCTCTGCCACGTGGTCACATCAGTCTTGAATCCACTCTTGATGTGCTTCTGGGGGACAGCAGGACTTTCTGCATCCCCAAAGGGCAGGTTTCCTTACAAAGATGCCTGGGAAATGGTCAGCAGGGAGTGAGTCACATCCCACACTGAGCTGAGACCGCGCCGGGCGCTGCAGGGACTGATCCTGTTCCTTCTTGAGGTGCTGCTGGGTGAAGCTTTTCAAGCTCCTGATGTGGACGGTTGGATGTGGCATCACAGGATCCCAGAATTGCCTGGATTGGAAAAGCCCTTTAAGCTCATCGAGTCCAACCATGAACCCAACACTGTCCAGTCCCCTATGACTAACCCATGTCCCTCAGCACTGTGTCTACACGACTCTTCAATCCCTCCAGGGATGGGGACTCCACCACTGCCCTGGGTAACCCCTTCCAATGCCTCAGAACCCTTTCAGCAAAGAAATTCTTCCTCACATCCCATCCCCACTGCCCTGGCCACAACTGGAGCCCATTTCCTCTTGTCCTGTCCCTTGGGCCTTGGTTGAACAGACCCCCCCCCACCTCTCTCCACCCTCCTCCAAGGGACTTGCACAGAGCCACAAGGTCTCCCCTCAGCCTCCTTTTCTCCAGGCTCAACACCCCCAGTTCCCTCAGCCACAAGGGAACTCAGCACACTTGTGCTCCAGACCCTTCCCCAGCTCCGTTCCCTTCTCTGGACACGCTCCAGCACCTCCATGTCCTTCTTGGGAGTGAGGAGCCCAAAACATTGGTTTAGGAGCAGGTTCTGTGCATCTTTACTGTGTTCAGAGAAGCTGTGGGTGGGAAGGCTGTCCAAAATGAAACAGTTAATGCTATGGATGTTGTAGGAATTGCTTTGAGTAGCATGACAGATCCCCTGGGGAGGATAATCTCGTGCTTTTCCACCACAAGTAGCCTTACACTTTCGTGGAGAGCAATTGTAGAGAGCAGGAGTCTGGGCTGGATCAGGGCTTCCTAGAAAGCCTGGGTACCCAGCTTCCTTGGGAGGAAGAGGGGGGAGCAGGGTGTGCAAGGAGAGGTGCAATTTCACACCAGCATTGGGATTTGCTTTAAATTTCCTTTTTAAACCTCTGTAGGAATTTCACCCCGACATAAATGGGATTTTTCTGAAGGAATCAGTGTGAAGATACGTTTTCTTTCAGCCTGGGACATCTCTAAACCATTGATTTCTGTACCTGCTGTCTGTGTGGCCCCTGCAGACAGGTTTGTGGGTGTCCAGGTGTGACACAGGGGCACGGTGAGATTCATCCCCGTGCTCCCTCAGTCAGTGGGATGAGCAACATAAATTCCTTATTGGACCTTTGTGTATTTCCAAATCAAACAAACCTCACTCTGTGTTTCACTCTCTGGACCTGGGGTTGTCTTGGAGTAGGAGCTTTTCTATTTTATTTGGAGCTTTTGAGTCTCTTACTTGAAAAAAGTCAAAGGAAACCAGGTTTTTTTGTTGCTTCCACCTGAATCTGTTCCTGAGAAGCACAGGATGCAGTTCATCCTTGGAAAATAATTCTTGTAATCCTGGAAGCTGCTTCCTTAGGGGACAGACAGAGATTCCCATTGCTCTCTTGAACCTTCTGGCTCTCTCCAGTGGTGGGCTTTCAGTCCAGGGTTGCTTCTCCTGTCCCTTGGCAGCTGGTAAGATCCAGGCAAGATCCCTCTGGTTGCTTTTCTAACATCACCCATGAGCAAAACAGGAGCTGGAAACAAAATAAATACGCTGGCAAGTATGCTTGTGAAAAACACAGTGGTTCTTTGATGGTGACTGGTGGTCAGAGCTGCCCCAGGCACGTTTCCCCGTGGTGGTGGGATGAAGAAGGAAGTTCTCAACAGCCTGTCTTCTCCAGATGTGACCAGTGTTCAGAAAAAAACCAGGACTCTGATGCTTTGCCAGGTTTTCAGGCCCTGGCTCAGGGCAGGGTTTGCAGTGGTCTGATTGAGCTCATCTGCCATCTCTCTGCAGGTGTCGGTACCTGGCAGTCCAGCTGTCCCCAGCCATCCCTGTGTTTGCAGCAGTTCTCTTCCTGTTTGCCATGGCTACCCTCCTGAGGACCAGCTTCAGCGACCCCGGGGTGATCCCCAGAGCCCTGCCTGACGAGGCAGCCTTCATCGAGATGGAGATTGGTGAGTGTGGAGCCAGCTGAGCTGCTGATGGCTGGAAAAGCTGCTGTATTTCTGGTTTCTCTGGCTATATCATGTTCTCTGCAGAGCCTCTCTTTCCTGGCTTGCTCTTTTTGGAGAGCTTCTTACCATCTGCTGACTAATTCTGCTTGGTTGAGGCTCAAAAAGATGTTGTGATGTGCTTGCTTCCCTTTCTGGGAACCTTTTTCACGTGCTGGTGTATGTACAAGCTCAGTCTGCTTTTGGGATGGGGTGGGCCCCTCCATCTTTCAGGTAGAGAGGAAGTTTGGTGGATGGGGGTCTGTGTACAGTGACACCCCCCTTGGCTCCTCTTAATAAGCCCGTGAAAGCTCTGGCATCTCTTTTCCTGCCTCCAAGCTGCCAGGTTGGCTCTGGACCATGCGAGCAGAGCTGCAGCCACTGGCTCTAGACCCAGCAGGCTCTGTGGGAAGAGCAGGGAGGCAAGTTCTCACTCTAGGCTGGTGGTGTTGTAGCAGTGGATCTGATCTCTGCTTGCTTCTCTCTCTGTCTCTCTCAGAGGCCACCAATGGCACTGTGCCACAAGGTCAACGCCCTCCACCAAGGATTAAGAACTTCCAGATCAACAACCAGATAGTGAAGCTGAAATATTGCTACACCTGTAAGATCTTCCGTCCACCCCGCGCCTCTCACTGCAGCATCTGCGACAACTGCGTGGGTGAGTAGAAGGAGGAGGTTGTGTCTCATCCTTTCTCCAGGAAGAAGTCCTCATCCTTTTGGATCCCACTCCTCCTCTGCAGGTTCTCAGCCCTCGGAGGGTTTATGCAGTCCTTTGAACCTCCTTCTTAGTAGGAGAACCTTCTTGAATCCCTTGAACCTTCTTCTACTAGGAGGAAAGTGCCACGTGGGTTAGATAAGGACTTCTGAACCCTCAGACCTTCATCTAACCTGGGTGCTGCTTTAGTAACAAATACATCAGGTCTCTGGCAGAGAAGACACACGTGGGGCCAAGCTTTTAAACTCTATTTTAATATGCAAAACGACTCATTAGTAAAACAATTTGGCACTTGCTTACCCGGCCTCCCTTTCTGGAAGGGGGTCATGATGTGGAGCTCTGAGTTAGCAGAAGGTTGGACTTGATTGCCCAGGGGATTTTGGAGTTGAGGGCAGAGGAGTTGGTGTCTGGAGACAGGGCAGGACTGATCTCCATCTTTGCTTTCACAGAGCGCTTCGACCATCACTGTCCCTGGGTGGGCAACTGCGTGGGGAAGAGGAACTACCGCTATTTCTACCTCTTCATCCTCTCGCTCTCACTCCTCACCATCTACATCTTCACCTTCAACATAGTCTACGTAGCACTGAGTGAGTCTGGCTGAGGAGAGGTGGATGGTTGGGCTGGTTGAGGGTGAAGGGCGGGAGGATACAGAAGGTGTTACAAACCCAGAAATAATGGAGTGGGGAAAAGGAACTGGAGTTGGTGTGATGTTCCAGTGGAAAAAGAAATAAAAATCTCTTTATTCCCAGAATCTCTGAAGATTGGGTTTCTGAACACACTGAAGGAAACCCCAGGGACATATCCTTCCACAGTGCAGAGGGCTTGGCTTCTCCAAAGCTGGAGGTTAGTGTGAGCTGCATTATGGAGGGACTGGAGTTTTGATGCTCAAGAGTCTTTCAGGAGATTTTTCTCCCATGGTTGTGAGGTGAGGAACAATTTTGTGGCTTTTGGGAGGAGGGTAGAACAGAAAAACCATGTCTAGGAGAAGAAGAGAAGTTAGAGTAGTGTGTCTGGGGGTAGTGACAGCTACCAGCAGCTCAGGTCAGGTTGTTCTCAGGCTGTTCCCAATCCTTAACTGTTCTCACTGTACTGGAGGTGCTCATCTGCTTCTTCACCCTGTGGTCAGTGGTGGGGTTAACTGGTTTCCACACCTTCCTGGTGGCACTGAATCAGACAACCAACGAAGACGTAAGTAGAGTCTTTCTGTTCCTCTGGGCCACCTCTGTTTCTTGTCACTTCCTTGGAGTGTCAGGGCTGTCCCCACCTTGCTGATGTGCCCCACAGGCTGAGGCAGGGCTCAGTGGGCTGGGGACAGGGGTGTTGGTTGGAGCAAACCTGAACTTGTGCCTTGACTTACAGATTAAGGGGTCCTGGACTGGGAAGAACCGTGTGCAGAATCCCTACAGCCATGGTAACATAGTGAAGAACTGCTGTGAGGTGCTCTGTGGGCCTCTGCCCCCCAGGTAAGCTCTTGAGGGGCAACCCTCTCATTTTTACCCCCAGAGCCCCGTGAAGGACCCTGAGGAGCTCTCTTAGCTCGGGTACAAGACCTGGCTGCTCTTCTGCTGGGCACTGTGTGTGTTGGGGGCTTCTGGAGGTCACTGGGTGCTCTCAGAGGAAGGTCTTGGCGTTGCTTTCCTTGAATATCTTCTGTGATTGAAGCTTGTGACGTGTTCCCTGTCACCACGTGCTTGGGAAGCTGGTGGAGGAGTGACTCCTCTTCCCTGGGGCAGCGTATGGAGCAGAGGTGCTCCTTTTGGTGGGCTTCCATCCTCTGAACTGGGCTGTTCTCCGAGGGGTTTGGCTTTCACAGGAGGAACATAGACACTGTAAACTGGGTCTGGGCTGTGCACAGCCTTGGTTTGGAGAGGAGCTCCTTCCCCTGATGTTTGTCTTCCACAGGCACTTGTCCTGCCAG